GTCTATCATAAGCTTTATTGCGTGTTGCTCTGTTCCCCATAGAGATACATGTTTCTAAATGTTTCCAAAGCTTTCCTGCCCTGATGGCTGTGGAACGAGCGGCTAACAGGATAGCGCTCAAACCCTGTCAGCATCTGTATTGTTTTGACAGTTATCCTCATCCTTACCTGCACCAGGAAGTGTGTTCCCATTGAGCTCTGCCACTGACACCCTGGTAGTGAGTCTAATGGGAATATATGTATAGTGGTAGTATTGGTAATAATAGGTTTCATAAAACACATCTTGAAAGAATAGTTCAACATTTGAGGAAATACACTTATTTTACACTTCTTCTCTAACTCTTGGCAAGAAAGCTACTGTTATTTCTTGCACTTTGAAAATAGCCAAGGAATGATGAAGTATTTCAGCAGAAAAAAAATATTTCAAAGCGGCAGTACAACGTTGCAATTTGTTGACCCCTGTAGACATCAGCAGATAATGTATGTTTTATAAAGAACAGTGAAAAAAGTTGATGTATACTTATATACATATATATACCTCTCTTTGTCCACTGATAGGCATGGAAATGATCAGTTCTTTCAGGCAGGTTTATCTCCAATCGCACAGTCCTGCTCACATGCTGTTGTTTTGGAGAAAATGTGTTGCTGTGAACAAAAAAAAACAACCTCCCCAAGTGAGCATGGTTTATAATCTGAATTCTCAATGAGGTAGGATGGGAAGACCTTCTCTATCGCAGCCCCTAATCATGATTACGTTATGAGGTGGGTGCATTACACATTAATCTTGTCTGGAGCCGCTCTGAGAATAGGTGATGATCATATCAGTAAGGACCGAGCAACAGTTTATGTTATCTTTCAATTGATTTCATAATGCGCTTAACAACAGCTCTTTCACTCAGCAGTAATGTTTCTTTGCTTCGAATATGAATCTTCCAGTCTGGTGTATATCGTTTTTTGGCTTGACATTATTAAACACAGTTCCACGCTGACTTTGGACACCATGTCAACCCTGCCTGCTCTACACTGTTGCATCAGCCTTATTAGTGTGCCTGTTGAGCAGCACACCACTGTAGGCTGCATGTTCTACATAAAGGAGGATTCACATGGAAAGCCAGAAAATAAAATTGCTGTACAAGGAGGCAAGGATGAAGAAAGAAAGAAACGCTCCACAAAGAAGAAAGAGTATTTTCTGAAAATGGGCTTGGTGTATTCCTCTGCTTTTTTACACTGCTTATTTAAGAAAATAATTAAAGATGGCTGAATGCTCAGTGCAAGGTGACTAACTGTCCAAATATGGCTTACTGGGTAATTTAAAATGAATAGAGCTATACCTTTTACCTTTTATTACCTTTTTATTACCTTGTATTTTACTACTGTGACATGTTAAAACATCTGCTGTGAAGAAATACTGTTAACACTGTTAAGTGTTTTCCACCTCAGATACACCTAAAATCCTTATTTCAAATCATTTGGGAGTTGCTTAAATTGAGGTGGGTTTTTTGTTTTTGTGGTTTCTATGTTTTTGCTTCGTACAGCGGGATGCTGGTTTGTGGCCATGGGTGTCAGAAGCGGATGAAAGTAAACAAGGAAAAGAATGTGACTATCCATGTTTCCCCCAGTGTAAAAGATATGAAAGTACAAATGGCATTTATTCTCCTAAAAAGATACTCAGTTAAAAGCGATTTTTATATATGTAAGCATATATGATACACAGTATGTATACTTGTCACTATATATATTTGTCCCCAATAGATATTAATGATGTTGTGATAACTTAGTTCATGTTTACTCATTGTTTAGTCTCGGCAAATCTATTCCCTATTCTGAATTAAAACAGCTCTTCAAAACAACTGCTGTGTAAGGTTTCATAATGCTGTTGTTGTAATGAGATGCTTTCGATCACCCACACACCATATGCCAAAAGGTTTGTGGGTGGATGTTCGGTTGTTTTGAGAATAAGACCACTTTTTCTAATGTTTAAAGCAGTATTTTTTTACTCCATAGTTTTAAATTAACATAAATATATACAGTTAGTCATATTCATTTGTATGCAGCACAGGGAAGTGTTACTTGGTACACTGTAATATTTCAGCTGAAGATTTTTTTGTTGAAACAAGGGCACTGTATCGTCATATGTAATGCTGAGTCATTGCATACTTCTTCACTTTGTTCCTAGGGATCAAATGATGTACCAGTTGGACATGCTTAACTAAATGCCTATCAATAAGTATTCAATATTCCTATTGTTAATTATTGACACTAAGATAACAATAAAGACAGCATGTGATGTAGCTCAGATTGTGTCAAATACTAGACCGAGATATGTTGCAAATAAATTGTTATTTAATGCCATGTAAGTATTGTATTGTAAGAATTGTATTTTAAGAAAGAGGCTTTAGCTAAAGAGGTAATCAGTATTCTGCTGCACTCTGCTGGTGGTGAATGTGTAGTACAGCTTACAGAGCTTGATGTCTGATGCTTTGTACATGACAGTCAACTTATATCTGCTCACTTACAGAAGGTAATTTTTCTGCATAATAAAAGTCATATCCTTTTCCTTTATATTCACAAGTTCAGGAATGACAGTGCTAAGTCCTGTCAATTGTATGTTACTCCCTGTAAATAGATATACAGTATATAATCTATAGGCTTTATACATATACATAGGTTTCTAGAAAACGAAACAAATAACATAACAAAGTAGTGTGGAATAAACTTTTCAATTTCCATAAAGTAGCGTTTCAAACATTGGTACATTTTGTATTCCTCCTTCAAAACATGTGGCCAGAAACGTGGTCAGAACATATTAAGAAACCCTGCAGCCATATGGACTAATCACTGTACACTGTACTGTTCCCTTGTGTTTTTTTTTATATTTCGGTGCATTTGTTTTACACTGCAATGAGATCTGCTGACAGCACATGTCAATTTTATTTTATGTGTTTGAGCCTATGGTTTGAGCACATTTGTCTATTCAATATATTCTAATTAAATTCAAGAATAATTACCTTGTTGTTTACTACCTCATCTTTCAAGTTATTTTTTTTTAAATATGACACTGAAAGAAGCTTTTTCATCGGGGTTGCTCTTTTATCTTTAAGGTTTAATTTGTACTTAGTTGAATACATACATGTATTACAAGACAAAGCTGATAGAGAAGAATACTATTGACCCAGAAATTACATTTTCTCAGCCTTTAATTGTATTCTATGTCATACAGATGAATGTACTCTAGAGTAACACAAATTTGATGGACAAAAACTATCTTTTCTTTAACAATGAACTGAACATCTCAACTAGAACAGTCCCTTTGATACACAACATGGGTCAAAAGTGACCCGGGTGAGTTTTAATTGTAAATATCATTGCAACAAATTACTTTAACAATTCAAAATTCCAGGTATTCCTCAATTAACTTGTTTATGATCACACAAAGTCTTACTTTCATTTTTCATTTCTTAATTTTTGAATAAAAACATTTTTGTATCACTACCCTTCTAAGGGACAACATGGGTAAAAAATTACCCGTATTGACTTACAATGTTATTTCATGCATGGCTGAGTGTTTCTTAGCTATATTTTTGGATATCAATTTATTTAATCATTTAATATTCCAAGTATTCATTTAATATATTGTTTTATTGTTTTTGATCACCACACATCATTATTTTCATTCTCCCTTTCTTAATTTAGGAACTAAAACTGTTTTTGTATTTCTACATCAAGTTTGCATACATGGGTCAAAAAGGACCTACTATAAAAAATACATACTATAATAATCATTTCTTTATAAATAATCATTTTAGCACTGATTGGACCAAACATGTATTCACTAAGGAATTTGATAGGAAGCTTTTAGTTGTAAACGATTGCCGTTAAGAACATGTTAACCGTGGACAACTTTTCACTCAACAGGATGCTTTTGCACGACTGATTCATGTAAGTCTTATTTTACACTTCTTTTACCTAAGGAGATATTTGATATCTTGTGAAAGATAACAGTAAATAATATTTGAACATTACCTGACCTTGTCATCTATTACATTACATTACATGTCACTTGTTAGACGCTTTTATCCAAAGCGACTTACATACTCAATACTGTGGGCAATCCCCACAGGAGCAATTTGGGGTGAAGTGTCTTGCCCAGGGACACAACGACATGCTGACTGCAGTAGTGGGGTTTGAACCTGTGACCTCCTGATCCGAATACCAACTCACAATCCACTGCACCACAGGCCTCCCTATTACTAGTGAGGAAGAGAGTTCATGTCTATGTCAACTTACGCAGAAGGAACTGGCCAAATGCTGCTAGTGTACGATGTCTATATTATATATCGCAACATCACAATGGAAAACTTCTTCACCAGTATCCCTCTGGCTGAAAAGCTCCTTGAGAAGAACCTGACCATTGTGGGGACTCTTCGCCAGAAGAAGCCGGACATACCGCCTGTCATGAAGCCATCCAAATCGAGGGAGAAGCATAGCTCAGAATCTGGATTCAGTGGCAACATGACCATGGTGAGCTATGTGCCGAAAAAGGGGAAAGCTGTTGTCCTCCTGAGCACCATGCATGATGACAGAGCAGTGGATGACAACAGTTTAACCCTCCTGTTACATTCAGGGTCAAATTGACCCGTTTGAAAGTTTGAAAATCTACGAAAAATACTTTCAAGTATTTTTTTTTTATGAAACTTCTTCTACTTACCTTAATTAGTGTAATAAACAAGTCAAATGAAAATGGTTCATGTCATGCATTTGGAACCCCCCCCTACATGTCTATATCACAGAGATGGTATTCGGGTCAAATCTGACCCGGCAGTGAAAGTGGATGCTAAAAGGGGTCAGAAACACACACACACACACACACACACACACACACACACACACACACACACACACACACACACACACACACACACGGGAACGTGGAGGCTAGAAGGGGTCAGAGGGTTCAAATGCGATATACAGTATATATATATCGACAGAGACAGACAGACAGATATACACAAATACACACACAAATACACACCGCACCTGTTAGTGAAAGTGGGGGTCAGAGGGTTCAAGTCTCAAATGTGTAATGGGTAAGCTCCTCCCACACTGGGATACATTATACTCTGCACTTAACGTACAGTATACTCACAATACTATCAGACAAAATGAGCAACGCAAGTGAAGAGAGGACAGCCCTGGGCTATATGGAATACATCCTTGAGGAGGATCACGACAGCGAGATAGAGGAGAACGTTTCCGAGGATGAAGACTACCTTGAGGTAAACGATGAAGATTATGATTATGATCAATCAAATGAGGAAACTGATATTCGCCCAGATGCGACATTCATGTCCAAAAATTGTGAAATTCAGTGGTCCTCATCCCCTAATGGACGCCAGGCAACACTATCGGCAGCAAACATAATGAAGGCAGTGCCAGGGCCCACCAGGATGGCAGTCTCTCGTGTCACAGACATCAAGTCTGCTTTTGAGCTGGTAATTTCGAACACAGTGCTGAAGATCGTTCTGGATATGACCAATCTGGAAGGGAGACGTGTATATGGGGAGGAGTGGAAGGAGCTGGACGAAATGCATTTACATGCGTATTTGGGTCTCCTCATCCTGGCTGGGGTCTACAAATCCAAGGATGAATCGACAGCCAGCCTGTGGGACGCAGACACAGGCAGGAATATATTTCGAGCCACAATGTCTCTGGGAACTTTCCACATTTTCTCAAGAGTGATCCGATTTGATAATCGTGACACAAGAGCTGGCAGACGTGAGAGAGACAAGCTGGCAGCTATAAGGACAGTGTGGGACAAGTGGGTAGAGCGGCTTCCACTTCTCTACAACCCAGGACCTAATGTCACAGTGGATGAAAGGCTGGTGGCATTCAGAGGTCGTTGCCCTTTCAAGCAATACATGCCTTCGAAACCGGCAAAATATGGCTTGAAAATATGGGCAGCATGTGATGCAAACTCCAGCTATGCATTAAACCTGCAGGTTTACACTGGAAAGCCAGTTGGAGGAGCCCCAGAGTGGAATCAGGGCATGAGGGTTGTGCTCGACATGGCAAAGGGTCTCAGGGGTCACAACATAACTTGTGACAATTTCTTCACGTCCTACAACCTGGGTCAGGAGCTCCTGAAGAGAAAGCTAACAATGGTTGGAACTGTACGAAAGAACAGAACGGAACTCCCTGCCGAAATGCTGGTGATCAAGAACAGGGTCCCTCAATCCTCCAAGTTTATGCACACACACACACACGCACACGCACACGCACATGCACACGCACACACTCTTAATTGCTGTTACAATAAAATACTTTCAATACAAATCCTTATGACTCAATTGGCTTGATTCTAAGTGAACGGGTCAATTTGACCCTGAACAGAAGAGGTGTCTCGTCTCTATTTATCAACATCAACCAATTGTAAAACAAGTTGGAACATTTTAAAATTAATTTAAAACATGTTATGTTATGCAAAACTAATGTATTTTATATCAAGGTTTTTCCAATGTAAAAAAGAAAATAGAAAAATGTGTTTGAATGTATATTTTTGGGGAAAACGAGTGACTTATTCTAATGGAATCATGAACTGTGAGGGGTGAATAACACAATTGCACTAAATATTGATTTCATTGATAGTAATAAAAGGTACAAACTATGTAAAAAAAAAAAAATCGGGATTTTGGGGCTTCTGACCATTTTTGGATAATTAAACATGCACTGGGTCAAATTGACCCACGAATATTATTGCTGTTACAAAAAACGAATATAACAGGAGGGTTTTAAACAAGGAACTAGAAGTGATCCAGTACAATAACAAAACTAAATCAGGAGTGGACACAATGGATCAGATGGTTCGCACCTACACATGCAAGCGGAGAACACAGAGGAAGCCCATGGTGCTCTGGCACAATGTGCTCGATGTTGCCACCCTTAATGCCTACTTTACTGCACAACACCCTGATTACGTGGTGTGACCAATGCACAGCAGCTTTTCAGCAAGGAGCTGGGCAAAGAGCTTGTCATGCCACATACACTATAGACAAACATAATAGGACACTCCTCTTAATTAGGGCTGAACGATTAATCGATTTTAAATCGAAATTGCGATTCCAGATGATGCGATTATGAAATCGCAAAGCCTGCGATTTTTTTTGCCACATTTTTTTTTTTTACATTTTTTTTTTTCTTCTTGTGTGTCAGTCATCCACACCAATCAGAAGTGCTGTGCTCCACATGTACCAGCCATTGTTAATCAATCAGAAGTGGCCCATGATAGAAGGCAGCGACGTGCAGAGCCTCCCCTGTCATACTCCAATGTAACGGAAAAACAACTAAAGAAAAACTAAATAGTAATAATAATAAAATGTCTCCACTGATCTGTGTTGTAAATGTGATTTATGTATGATTCCAATCAGCAAATTGGCCGAGCTCCGCTACAACTACGGGTAGTGATGAGAAGTGAGGCAGGGACGAGCTCTGCCTCTCGTAAGCCCACAGTAACTGGCTGGAGCGCGGGCACTAATTTAACGTGGGCACTTATTTTGTGAGTGCGCTCAAGCCAGTTACTGTGTGGTGAGGTGAGGCACAGATGAGATCTGCCTCACCTCAGAATGCGTCACCCCACAGAAACTGGCTGGAAAGCGAGCCCTAAGCGCATGCCTGCACCATCTCACTGTATGTCACCAATGTAATGTTTGTAGATCCCTTTATTACATTTATCCTCGCCATCCATAGTCTCTAAATAACTTATTTCACGTATATATGATATTTAAGCTCGCTGGTCTCATCCTACAACGGCAATGAAAAAAGCACCAGGGGAGGCAGCCATAACCTCTGCCGCACTGAAGGGGGCGCAAGTGAGGCCACAGGTTCTTGTTGCGACTGTTATTCTACGCAGAGACGGTAGGCGCAAACAACAAACTAGACTTTTGAAACTAGAGGAAGATAAGCAGGACTTTTATAAAAAAGTAATAGAGATTGTTGTCCAGAAGGATAGCATGGACTTCATCTTCAAGTCAAGGTAAGACCCCAATTGTAATGAAAATGGGATCTTACTAAGAAAGAACAATCCAATATTTAGATTTTGGGTATCCTTTTGTTGAACGGTCTGTTTAAAATGAATCGAAGCATCAGTGTGACGAAGGTAACTTCGTCACTGTGGACGGATGGCTTCGGGCCTTGCATGTGTGCACATTTGTATACAATTTATACTATTGATTGATGTAGTGTTTATTGTATTTTATTTTGAAATGTGTTCCCTTTTCCCCATGTCTGTTGCCGTTGATTGTGTGCACCTGGTGCCCTGTGTTGTCTCCTCCCCCCTCACCTGGGCATTTAGGCTCTGGGGTTTTGCTGTTTGGGAGTGTTTTTGAGATCTTTGTGGCTGCAGGATGGGTGCAAGGAGAACAGCAGGATTGAGGCTGTGAACTTTGTGCCCAGGATTTTAATAAATGCCCACGTCGGGTTATATTTTTGGACGTTCTGCCTCTGCCTCCTTGCTTGGTCTGGGCCGCTCAACGGTTAGCTTCACAATCAGACTAAAAAAGCTTTTGAAAATAACCGAATATTTCGATTAAGGTCAAAATATAATATTTGTAAATCTGACTCTGAAAGAGTCAGTGTCTCACCAGCCATGAACCTCACCGCACGTCACTGATAGAAGGTGATAGACAGATTGATCCAATCACCTGCCAAGTATTTTTGAAAGTGCCTGCCCTTTTCCAAATGGCTTCTAATGGAGCTTTCCTAGATAGTTTGGTGAAACAAACCATCTGAGTCAGGTTAGTAATGCTCCATCACATGTTCTACATCTAAAAGGGTGAATCTTTAACTGAAGCTTGACTTTAAAGCAACCCAACTCAGCCACGAAGTGGAAGACCACGTAGAGTTACAGAGCGGGTCGCCGAGTGCTGAGTAGGGCTGAACGATTAATCGATTTTAAATCGAAATCGCGATTTGAAATGATGCGATTATCAAATCGCAAAGCCTGCGATGTTTTTTAACTTTTTTTTTTTTTTACAACTTTTTTTTCTTTTTTCTTGTGTCTCAGTCATCCACACCAATAAGAAGTGCTGTGCTCCACATGTACCAGCCATTGTTAATCAATCAGAAGTAGCCCATGATAGAAGGTGATAGACAGATTGATCCAATCACCTGCCAAGTGCTTCTGAAAGTGCCTGCCCTTTCCAAATGGCTTCCAATGGAGCTTTAGATGGTTTGGTGAAACAAACCATCTGGGTCAGGTTAGTACTGCTCCATCACATGTTTCTATTACAGGACGAACCTTAAACTGAAGCTTGACTTTAAAGCAACCCAACGGAAGTTTCATGTAAGTTTAGTTTTTTCACTCGTAGCTCGGGCTGCGGGGGTGCTAGAGACTGGAGTACGTTGATACGACCTTCCTAGCCGGAGTTATGGCTGTATTTTACAATAAACTTCCGTTGGGTCGCTTAAAAACAAATATCGCAATTCCAATCGCAATATTTGTCAGAAAAATCGCAATTCGATTTTTTTCCCCAAAATCGTGCAGCCCTAGTGCTGAGGTGCATAGTGTGTAAAAGTGGCCAAAGCTCTGCTGACTCAATAACTGCTGAGTTCAAAAACCAGGTCTGGCATTAATATCAGCACCACAACTATGGGAGCCAGAGCCGGCTCTAGACAATCGTACAGTAGAAAATATAAAGATCAATAGAGTATCCAAGGAATACACAATAGAATGGGGGATTTACGTCACATCCTCTAGGGGGGTCCGGGGGTATGCCCCCCCCCCCCCGGGAAGATTTTTTTGAACATTTTAAAGTAAAATGCTTCAATCTGGTGCACTTTGAGCAGAATTACTACTAGATCTAGGCCGGGGTAGAACTCTAAAACACCCATATGAAAAAAGATCGGTTTACATTTTAATAATCAAATAAGTATGTGAACATAACCAACAACCTACCATAGCCAATAACAAATACATGTAACTTATTTAATTTTTAGGATCATTTTTTTATCATATCTTATTTGACCTATTAACATTTATTTATTCATGCATATTTTTCTATCTCTCCAGTTTTAAACGATATTTTTGGTTTACTGTCCTAGTATACATTGAAATGATTTCAAACCTGTTCATCCCAATAATTATAAAGGAGTGCCTTGGAAATATGTGTTTACATAAAAAACGTTTCAGACCCACTGAGATGACTTAGACTAAAGTTAACTATCTAAAAACTCAGAGTCCTTTACCTCACTGAGCTGTAGTTATCAGCCTCTCAGTCTGACTGGAGAGGACTCTCCCTCCACATTATTGTAGAAACATCTTCTTCTTATATCCGTTAGCGCAGCTAGCACCAGATGCTAATAACAACAGCGCCGGTACCGGTGCGCCCTCCCTCTCTCCCTCGCTCGCTCCCACGCTCACTCGCACTTTGGCTGTGAGCTGTGGGCGCCTGATAAGCCAACATCCCCCATTTTCATCACTTACAGTGCCCATCGTACAGGGAAAATGAAAAGTGTAACCGGGGTGAAAAGGGTGTTACATTTACTTAATTATGAATATTGTTACATCAAGGCCGAAACTTAGGATGAGTACCAACGGTCAAACGTTTTTTCTACCAGCGCAGCGCCTCCCCAGATCCGGCGCCCTAGGCGAACATCTATAACGCCAGTGGAAACGTGTTCTGTGGAGCTACCAATCACGCTTCTCTATCTGGCAGTCTGGTGAACGAGTCTGGGTTTGGCGAATGCCAGCAGAACGTTACCTGCCTGACTGCATTGTGCCAACTGTAAAGTCGATTCAAAGCACTTTCAATCATCACCTGCTGAAAAGTGCTATATAAATAAAATTGCCTTGCCTTGCCTAGCCTTGGTGGAGGAGGGATAATGCTATGGGTTGTTTTTCTGGGGTTGGCCTTGGCCCCTTATGGCACATTTCCACTGCAGGGCCTCACACGGCTTAGTACGGTATAGTTAGGCCTTGGTAGGCCAGGCTCACTTTATGCTGCGTTTCCATTACAGTTTAGGAACTGGGGTAGTAACTATAGTAACGCAGTGTAGGCGGAGCCGTGACGTCATCTTCAATGCGAAACACAAAACCAACATCAGCCGTTAGCCCTCAGAGCTCACAGCTCCTCATATCTGTTCAGAAACTAGACAAAAGTGAAACAAGTGCAAACCACAGACTGTCTGTGTCATGGCGAATGATGATGGATGAACTTCCTGAAGTACTCCAGGGGAGTATGAAGATTGTCTGGGGGTGTGACACTCTGTCCTTTGAATGTACACTGAAAACTATTTTTTTTCTTTGCCACTTGTAGTTTGCTAACCAGGGTTCATTTTTGGTTAAGGTACTTCATCTACATCACCTGATTCACTTCAGTCTGAATTACATGACTCAACTGACTCATCATTCTCCATTTCTTTGGTGTTGGGAGTGTAATCAGGGTCTTCATCTGAGCTACCTTCACATCTTTCAAACTCACTATCATCTCCCAGGATGACTGCCAGTGCTTCCTGAATATTGTAATGCTTCTTCTTGTGCATACTACAGAGAATACAAATAAGATTACATTAAAATATGTGACATTAATGTCACATCGATATTTATCTCATTGGTTTCATATCAATTTGATCAACAAATGTTTTCACAACAGGTTAAATGTAATAAAGGACATGTTATGCAAGCATTATAATTCTTAAATGGCTTAAATCTTACCTTTAGCAACAAAAACAAGCTTTTTAAAATGAACTAGTTCTATCAAATGTGTTAGCCTGGCGCATGGACATCTTGGAAATGTTTTGGGGAACACAAAATGACATGACCTGGCCCTATATACATCCATGCCCATGATGACCCAGGATGTTTAGGGACATCATGAGTTAAAATCTTAGGTTAAAATCAACGGTAAAGCTGTAAGGAACTTTCCAGAACATTTAAATATCATGCAACATCTGTGTCACCGTCGGTTCTTATGGTTAAGATAGTAAAATT